AGGAAATTATTTTTACCAACCCATAATCAGACAGAGGATTGATCTCCAAAATATACAAAGAATTCAAGAAACTGATCATCAAAAGAACAAATAATCCAATAAAAAATGGAGTACAGACCTAAACAGAGAACTCTCAACAGAAGAATCTAAAATGGCAGAAAGACACTTAAGAAAATGCTCAACACCCTTAGCCATCAGAGAAATGCAAATCAAAACAACTCTGAGATTCCATCCTATACCTGTAAGAATGGCCAAGATCAAAAACACTGTTGACAATTTATGCTAAAGAGTATGTGAGGAAAGGAACACTCCTGCATTGCTGGTGGGAGTGCAGGCTGGTACAGCCCCTTTGGATGTCAGTGTGGCAATTTCTTGCTGCTTCTTAATGGAGATGAACGCCAACCTGACTTTTGTGTGCGCAGATTCGAACCATAGACAGTGCTTTCATTGGTCCGTGTTGAAGACGTGGAGACTGCTTGGAGAGGTTTAGTCCCCTGCCCAAGGCCACCTCAGGAGTGCTGCAGCCTGGGTTCTCCCTTGTGCTCCCATGCACCATGCCCAGGATGGAAAGGACCACGGCACTGGTGATTCCATGCGTCCAACTGTAGACAGCATCCAGACCTGCCTTGAAGGAGAGCCAACCACGCTAAACCTTAGATTCGCTGGAGAAAAACCAGTTCCACAGTTGCCCGAATTTGAAGAAAGCTTTATTTAAAATATTAAATGCTGACCAAGATGAATATCCCAGGAGTGGCCCTCGGGCACAAGTTGTTTGGGGCTTACATGAACAAAAACCATGGGCCGCCGTACTTTGCCCATGAGGCTTTGTTGTTACTTTTTAAAAACTACAACTCCCAGCATTCCAGGAAGTTTCCTGGTTCTTGGGCAAGTGGGGCTTACAGGTTAATTTGGGGTCTTTGTGCTTGGTGCCTTGTGGATGGAGGTCCCACAGACTGAGTGACTGCTATCAGGACGCAAACCCACCCCCAACTTGGGCCTTACAGAACCTTACTTTTTAAGAGGTTCGGTATGAACCAGTAGAAAGAGGCAGGGAGCCCCAAGCTGGGGCAGTCTTTTTCGCTGGAGAAATTCACAAGGGAAGGTGTGACCTTTGACGTTGGGTCTGTTGACTTTGCCTCAGGAAGCCTCCACAAAAAGCTAGAAGCAGGAACTTGGGTTTCCTACCCCGTGAAAGCCTGCTCTAGAGGAGGATTTTATACCCGCGATAGCCAGTTCCCTCGCTGTGGCCACCCCTACCTCCATCAGTAGCTTGCACAGCCAGGGACAGGCTAAAGGAAACCCTTCCGTGCTGACCCTTCCACAGCGGCTCTGCGGCTCTGCAGCCGCCTCTGCTGGGGCTTCTCGGAAGACCTCACCCATCACACATCTCGCACTGACTGGTCTCAAGGCACGGCCCCAGCTTTCAGCTTGGCTCCAAGTCCCCGCCTCTCTCTGATGTTGGAGTTCTACCCATCCTGAAGGCTGGGCTCCATGACCCTTCAGTGGGCCCAGAAGGGGCCCCAGGACTCTAAGCTAAATATATCTTACTTTATAAGCTGCTATTGTGAAGTTCCAGCAGAAATAAGATGCACCTCAGTGTCAGGCTGGTGGTAAGGAGGTTGGGGTCCTCGACCTAAAAGACACAGGGATCTAGGTAGGATCTATGGCAGGTGGTTCTCAGCCTATGGATCCCGACCCCTTTGGGGTCTTATATTGAATATAAATGTATATGTAAATATATAAAGATATTTACATTACAGTTCATAACAGCAAAATTACAGCTATGAAGTAACAAGACAATTGTATGGTTGGGGGTCACCACAACATGAGGAGCTGTATTAAAGGGTCACAGCTTTAGGAAGGTTGAAAACATTTGGTCTGTTCTGTCCTTTGACAAATGAGGAAAGAGAGGCCCAGGATGGGAAAACAGTGTCTTAAAGACAAGCAAGTTCAAGGCCAGGAGACAGAAACCTGGCCTTGGAGCTGTGTTCTGGCCTGACACAGAGAGTAATAACATCTGTGATGCAGCTTTATCAATACAGTGAGCATCACAGGGTGCTGGGAGGTTCAGTGAGATTCTGGACGTGGAGGAGGACTTGGTGACTGATGGAGGAGCATGCCACTACGGCTGACATGTGTTGAGCCTTCTCTGGTTGCCCAACAAGTACCACGCGAGCTTTGAACTTGCCCTAACTTTTCAAAGAAGGAGCTGAGGTACAGAGGAGTTGAGTGATCCATTGAGAGCCCCAGAACTTTGAAGAGGCAGGCTCAGGATTTGAATCCATGAAGACTTTGTGCCAAATCGATCAAGGACTGGTGTCCACCTGGTCAGTCTGCTGTCCCACAATCAGTTTTGGTACTCTATGGACCAGATCTGTGGATAGCTTACCTGGTAGTGAGACCCTGGCTTCTCCATCCAGTACACTCCGCTAGCTTACTGTATAGCATGCCAGATAACCAGGCACCATTGCAGCGCCCCCAGCAGGTGGTTGGACAGCCTCTGGGTCAGCCTCATGTTTCTGAGATGGCCATGTTCCCCTTACCAAGAATGTACTAGTCTAACAGGGCGTGTCATAGGACAAGGACCCAGGTGCCCGCCTCACCATGACTCTGAGCACACCAGGGAGGGGCCCCGGTGACTTTCTTTCCTGCTGGGCACCGGATGCTGTGGTAGATAACGGATCAGAAATTGCTTTACATCTTGGCCTGCAGCAGATGCTACAGCAGGTCCCTGGCTGTGGAAGCTGATGATGGAAGACGAAGTGGTGGCCGTTGTCCAAGTGAGAGGCCTACTCAGTGATTTGTCCCCGGTTGACCTGGGTGTTTCATTCATTCGTTCCCTTTCTCGCTCACCCGCTCAGTGAACAATTAGTCATCCGTGCGTGCTAGATGGCTGCCAAGCCTGGCGATGAAGCTTGGGATCGAGACATAAACAGACAAAACTCTGTCCCCGAGGAGTTTTCAGCCTCGTGGAAGAGACAGATAATTAACAAGATGAGCATGGTGAACAAGACAGGTCGGGATACGATGAGCTCCGTGGAATAAACCATGGCAGGACAGGAGGGCGGGCTGCTCGGGCAAAGCATCCCAGGGAGGGCCTCTCCTCCATGGGGCCCAGAAAGAGGGTAGGAAAGAGCTTTCAGGGACTCTGTTCCATGGGGGTACCAGTGAACTACTGAGCACCCTGTCTGCTGGAAACAGGACACAGACCTGCAGGATCAGACTGCACCCAAGGCAAGGCCGCTGAGACACTAGAGGGCCGTGCAGGACACTCTGTGCTAGCAGGAAAGGGTGCCTTCTGGAAGCCACGCAGGCAGAAAAACGTGGTGCTGCTGGCTTAGGCTCACTCCTAGTGGATTTGGACGCTGCTCATGTACCTTCGCAGGCCTACAGGGGTCCGTGTCACCTCACTCCAGCTGAGTGGCCTTGAGACTCGTTCCACTGTGGATGGAGCTCATAGAGGCTTCCTGGAAGAGGTGGCCAGGCAGTAGGAACTAGAGTGCTATCAGAGACAGACCAGGCACGGCACTATGAGGACGTCCCTTTGATGGGGCAGTTCATGGTGTCAGAGCCTTAGGGACAGTGTGTCCCCCTATGCAGGCTTCCATATCTCCACGTTCCCCCCAGCCTGCTTCTCAAAGAGGAGGAGGAGGAAGAGGAGGAAGAGGGAGAGGGGGAGGAAGAGGCACTGTAGCGCTGATGGATAGGCCGAGGCTGGGCTGCGCGGCCCAGCACTGTCACCACGCTCTCCCTCTGTATGCCGGAACCTGACACCCTGACCACTGAGGCATAAAAAACAGAGAATTGGAAGACTCAGCCTGTCAGACTGGGAGTGGCCCCAGGAGAGGCCCGAGCAGGAGTGTGTGTGCGTGTGTGTGTGTGTGTGTGTGTGTGTGTGTGTGTGTGTGTGTACACTCTGTCTGGGTTTTCCTATGAGTTGGGAGGAGGACTGATCTCTTCCAAAGCCTCTTGCCCTTTGGCCTTTGTGCATTCCCTTTAGGGGAATCGTGGAGTCACGCTTGGCCGCAGAGCGTCTCCCAGGACCATGTAACCTCTGTCATCTCCAGCAGGGGAGGGCCTTACCTGGGGTTCAAGCAAACCATTCAGTGCCCCGCTGGCTTTCCATGCCCTGCTCCAAATCCTCCGCTAGACACAGCAAGCTCTCAGACACTCAATGCGAAGACTTGAGAATGCAGTCTGCCCTCTGGGGCCCCAGCTGTAGGGAAAGGGGAGGAGGAAGTGGGCAGAGTCTGCTGCTCCGAGAGTGTGGGGACAGGATTTGAAGCTGTGACCTGGCCTAGCTGGCAGAAAAGAGACTCCCTTGGGAGTGCTGAAAACCCAGGGACCAGCCAGGGTGGGTGCTTAGCTCTTCAGGTTGCTGGATCTTGGTGAATCGTCCTCTGGGTCCACCCTACCCTCCCTTCACTCATGAGCAGTTCACAATGCCTTGCTGAGCATGCTACAAGCATGGACAACTGTCTCCTCCACAGGGCCTAGAAGACCCCAGCCCACTTCCTATGTTGTATTTCCTAAGCATTTAGCCCATCCCTTCGAGGCAGCAGAGCTGCTGTATACATTCTCCAGACACAGGGGGAGGCCTGTGTCTCGTTCCCTGCCCAGCTGGCTGCCCTTGGCAGTCGCTCTACGTTCACAGCACAGGGGGACCACACTAGAGCTGAGGTCGTGGAGAGTGGAACCAACCCACACTAGGGTCCCTTAGGAGCCTCAGCCGGTGCCAACAGCCCAGCAGACTAGGACCAAACCTAGGCAGGTGTACCAAGTGAGGCCCCACCTTGCACCTGGTGACTCCATGCCTTCCATTCCCATGGATACAAAGTGCTTTGGGGTGAGAGAGACAGCTCACGGAGTGAGGATGTGGCCCTGATGTGCTGTAATTGACAAGTGCCTTCAATATTCAGCATTTAAGCTGGCCTGAACCCACAGCCTTTTCTGAGCCTGATTTCACATTTGTCTCCTGATTGTCTTCCTACCTCCTGCAGGGAGTGAATTTTCTGGGAGTCCCTACAGCCACCCTCAGTATTCTTCCTACAACGATTCATGGAGGTTCCCCAACCCAGGACTGCTTGGTGAGTACCTGTCTTGTGGGGTCCCTGGGTCCTTGGCTGCCCTACCTGGCCTCTCCATTGGGCCAGGGTCCCTCCTGAGGTCTGGCCACTGGGGTGAGATGGGTCATTTGCCCCATAAATGTGGACTATAGGGGCTGTTATGGTGGTCTCAGGGCAGTCAATTCCCCTGCAGCTCAAGTGAGGGAATGTGAGACAGGAAAGAAGATAGAAAAATGCTTGCCCATGAGTAACTAGTATTTCTTAAGAACCATTAAATATAGTGCAAATTCCCTAAAATAAAAGGCACTGAATATACAGACTTGGATTGAATGGCGCTGGCTGCCTGGAAAACTGTCTTACGAAGGGCTCTGAGGCCCAGTGATTGATAAATGATGTCTGCTGTGGGCACAAGTAGTGCCAGCTCTATTAGCAACCAGCTGCCCGTGGCTTGCCAAGGCATGCTGTGTAGGGCTCAGCTGGTGCCTAACCTTTATCCAAGACTCAACTGGAGAATGTCCATGGCTGGAACAGCCTGGTCTGTGAATATCATCAGTATTTTTGTACACAGACAGACAGACAGACACATACACACACCCCAAGCAGGACTAGCTTTGGAAGAGCCCTTTGGTTTGTTAACTAAACCTGCATGAAGCCAGCAGGTGAGTATCCACCAAAGTTGGAGTAACTTGAAACAGAGGTCCCGGATACAGATTTCACCCTTTAACCCCTTAGCAGGTAGAACCAGCCAGTCAGCTTGCAGGTTACAGTACCGATCTCACCCCTAAAGTAGAACCTAAAGGTGTTCTACTTGGGGGGCAGTGAGTGGAGAGAGGAGGAGCATTTGAGACTGCTCAGGCCTATCTGTCCATGTTAACAAGGCCTCCTTCAGCCAGAGCCCACAAATTCCCCAGATCCTTAATTATTTCCAAATCCTAGGCCTGTGAAGTCTTAGCCTTGACTCCTTCTCCACTCTGGTGTGATTAAGTGGAGCTGGGCGGTGGTGGCACATGCCTTTAATCCCGGCACTCAGGAAGCAGAGGCAGGTGGATCTCTGTAAGTTCGAGGTCAGCCTGGTCTACAAGAGCTAGTTCCAGAACAGGGAGGCTCCAAAGCTACAGAGAAACCCATATCAAAAAACAAAACAAGACAGAGACATGGTACAAATGCCACATTTCTCACTACCACCTGAGCTGGGCAAGGGCCACGGTCTTGGGACCCTGGACTGCTCCTAGCATTCTGGTGTGCCATGCACACCTGTGGATGAAATAGGAGCATGGGCAGTTGGTGCTCCGTGTGAGGGAGAGGCCCAGCCTGCCTTACAAAAGACTCTGAGACTCTCATGAGATCTGGTTTCCTTCCAGCTGAGCCCTGGTCCCAATTCTATGTGGAGACTCACAGGGAGTGTGTCTCAAAGGAGGTCCAGGGCCTGTGGGAATGGCTTTCTAAGGCCACATTGACCAGGGCTGCTACACAGGACTTCATGGCCTAGGGAACACGAGAAGGGCAGAAATCCAGCCCATGGGTGGCACGAAGCCCCGCTAAGAGGAGTCACCATGTGTGCTTTTCACAAGACATCGGTGATTAGCAGTGCTACTCCCTTCTGGGGGCTTAAGGGGCACAGCAGCGGGGATAAACCCACCTAGGGGTGGCATAGGAGTGGAGGTAGTTGTGAAATATGCACAAACGAGGGACTTTGAACAAGGCTGAGAAGCCAGGAACAGATTGCAGGGCCGTGGCGTGTCCAGAGGGGTGGCACTGGGGGCCTTTTCTGCTCAAGTCTGATAAAAGCCAGTTCACAGCCTATAACATCAGGCCTTGTCCAGTGATGTTACAGGCTGGGGGTGAGGGAGCCTGGAGCAGGTGCCCCTGTGCTAGGTGCTGAGGGCTTTTGGGGGGACTAGAGAAAAGGGCAGAAGCAGAATCAAGACTCTGATTATCTACAGTTCAGTTAGGCACAGGGAAAATGCGGTGCGGGGTCATCGCATTTTAGCCTTCCCAAAGCCCTATGGGAGCCACCCCACTGTCTCTGAAAGTAGAGGAGAAGAGCAGACTCATTCACCCCAGGCCACACACAGGCAGGTGTCAGACGAGGTGTCTCCTTGACTCCAGAGCCTGTATGCTTAGGCAATGTGTGATGGGGCTTTCTCAAGCTCCCTAACTGATTCAGGCTGGGCAGTTACAGTCAGGAGACCTTAGGCTCCTGTAGACACAGGTGAGAGCCCTCAACACTCAAGCCTTGTGTGTGATGGTTATGAGAGCCAGGTTAATGACTTATAATTGCAAACAACAGAATTCACTCTGGCTAATTTAAGCAGAAACATATATAGTGAAGGACATCAGAGGCTCCCAAGATCTCCAGGCAGACTCGATAAACGGGCATGGGACAAGAGCCAGGAACACACTCAGCGGCATGGCCGGGTTGCTCTGCTGTAAGCACCCCATGGCTGCCAGCTGGCAGGAGGCAGCTTTCCTTAGGTGCTTGACAGCCTCGGGAGCTGCTCCCCACCACCGTTCAGGCACGGAGGCCTTTGACACCTGTTTCTAGTAAATGGCGTCCCCCAGCCCACTTCCCGAAGGTGCTTCCTTCCCCTTCAATGTCCAACACAACAGAGTCTAGTAGGCAGCTCTCAGGTAAAATGACTGTGACCCAGCAGCAAGGGAAGCCAGGAGGACAAGCCAGAGGCAGGCCTGTGCCACAGGAAAAGTGCCAACACAGGAGGAGTGGGAATCGTGTGGGGCCTGCAACATGAGACAAGGCTCGATCCGCCAGGCCACCTACCCGCCTGGGCCTCAGTTGGCTTGGGGATGAAATGAGGCTGGTTACCATGGTAGCCTCTCTCACCAGCACTGAGCGTGAAGCTCTTGAGGCCTGGTGCTCTGACTCCACAGGGATCCTGCTTGCATGTAGATGAAGACACGTGGCTCAGCTGACCACAGCCTTGCAAATAGCTCTGGTCTGCTCCCACGCTCCCATCATACGGGCCCTGCCACAGAAAGACCCAGTCTGATGACTTCTTGGGTTTGGGGTGAAAGAGGCCAGGAATGTGGGGGCCTGGCCTGTGTTTCCTCAAGCTCAGGTGAGCCCCTGAAGACATATTTCACAACTCACTCTTCCCACTCAGACCAGCCTTGCACAGGCTTCCCAGGTACCCCAAGCTGGCCTGGCTGAGTGAGCCAGAGTGAGGGCTGACAGCTACCCTCAGCACCTCATCTCATGGGTTCCCCCATCCTGTGGGATCCCCCAGGCTGGCGAAGGGACAGCAGAGGCAAGCAGAGCTGGCAGGGTTGGCAGCGGAAAAACAGGCCATGGTCAATTAGGATTAGAATAGGGGCGCCTGTGGCCGCTGTAAAGGGATTAGGGAGGGAACCAGCCCTGAGCCAGCCGGGAATGGCTGTGTCAAGAGGTAAATTGATGTTAATGTGAATTAGGGGGAAAAATGACAGAAGGAAGGACAAGTTTATTCTAGATGGAGGTCTAATGGGTGCCAGGAAGACAGACTGCTTTGTGAGGTGATGTTTTCATTTTCTGTGGTAAATCAAAGCCTCAGCCGAGGCTGCCACCCAGGCTGGCTAAGCCCTGAGGGGCAAACAGAGCTGTGGGAGAGAGCTGGAAACCTCACCGCAGGGCTGCTAGAGAGGGCTTCTTTCCTTCTACTTCCTGCCCCTCGAAGACCCTTTGTGGACATAGCCCTCATGATTTTCATATCCTCATGCCATCTCCAGACCTGCAGGGAATGAACCCCACCCCCACCCTGTTGCTGTCCCATCCCACGAGGAAAGAGTCAAGGCTAGATAGAATAGGGGAGTAACCTTGGAGGCAGCAGGAGAATGTCTTTGGTGGATTCTCAGGTGTGCGATGCTTGCCTGGGCCTCAGGGAACAGCCAGGAGAGGCCACCACACTCTCACTGCCTGAGGCTACCCCGTCTTCCTGAGTCAGGGGCAAGAGTGGATCAGCCTGTGAGGCGGAGCATGGAAGGGAGTCAGGATGCTTGTGTCCTCTAACTCTACTGCATGCTAGCCATATGTGGCTCGACAAGTGTCCTCACCCATAAAACCATCATAGTTCCTACCGGATAAGAGTTAATGGGTGTAAGTCTTTAGAAGGTGGCATTTCCACAGCATCATCACACCCTCATTTCAAGGTGCCCTCACATTTGCCCCCCTTTTTAAAGAGGAACACAACTGAGGCTCAGGGGAGCAAAGCCACCTGGTCATGGCCTTCCACCAAGACACGGTTGGGCCTGTGAAGAAAACCACACAGCTTCGCTCCCAGTTAGGGTGTCCGGGAGAATGGTCAGGCTCCACCCCCAGTTATGGGGAGACCCGGTCAGGGTTGGTTGGGTTTGAATGAGTCTTCAGAACAATTCCAAGCCTGTTCTTCTGAGAATTCAGCCCATTAGGCCCACCCCAATAAGACAGGCTGATAGGACCCCAACTTCTATCAGCTGCAAAGAGTCAGTCACTCTGCTGTTGACCTGGAGCTGTGTTATGACATCCTTGGTTCAAGCCCAGGATTCAGCACTGAGGTGTGATGTGAGTGGGTTTTATATTGCTGAACATCTGTCTCCTTGATGTGAAAGATTTGAAGCTTTGTGGTTCTGAGAATCCAGCCAGATCCCTGGATCCTCAGCTCCCCAGGTCCCTGGATCCTCAGCTCCCCAGGTCCCTGGATCCTCAGCTCCCCAGGTCCCTGGATCCTCAGCTCCCCAGGTCCGTGGAGAAGAATTTTGGTACAGACAGGAAGAGGCTTCACCCCACATACACTGCTGCAGCTGCTCCATGTCCACGCCCATGTCCACATCCACGCCCATGTCCACATCCACGCCCATGTCCACGTCCACACACACGCCCGAGCCCAGGCCAATCCCACTTCTGTCAGTAGTCACCAGAGTTTGTCTGAAAGCCCAGCTCCCCAGGACAGAAACTCCTTTCTAAATTCTTTCCCCCGAGGCGGGGTCTCATCATAGGCTGGCCTCCACCTCTCCTTGCCTCAGGCTCCCAAGCCCTGGTTGACACTTACAAGCCAGCATGTGTGGGTCAGTTTCCCCTTAGCTCTGAGTGTCTGGCCATCTTGAATCAGTGTCTCTCTGCTGTTGCCCCTCCCTGCCACCACTGAGGTCAGGAAGGGAGTGAACTAGCGAATGCTTACACAGGGTGGCCACGGGGTTTCTCCACTCCTGCTTGCTTGCTCGGGACCATTGTGCCTTCATACCAGAGTCCTCCCTGAGCAGGGCTGGGAACTTGGGGCAAATGCTAAGAAGGCCAGAGTCTAGTCCTTGCCTATTCAGTATTCTCTGCCCTAAGATAGAGGAAACGCACCAAAGAGAGAGGTGGCCACAGCGTGTGACTCAACCTGGGGAGGAAAGTGAGCTCATGGGAGAGTCTCCCCAGAGGAGAGGGCAGGGCCGAGGACTTGAAGGAGGCCTAAACAGAAGAGAGGGTGGGAGTATAGGGCCGGGAACCACAGGCAGGGGTCCTGCGTCTGCTAGGATGGGGTCACTGGCCCTTCCCCTACAGTTGAATGAGATGACCCATGTAGATGATAGCGTCAGGCACAGACTTTGGGTATGGTATGGAATATGGCTGGGAATAATGGAAAGTGTGGCCAGTAAGTCCAGAGAGGTTGGCCAAGGCTTGTCAATCAAACAAAAACCTGAACCCTTTTACTCTTGTAGGTAAGGTCTCAAAGATATTTTTATCCAAGTCCAGACACTAACTATTTTAGACTTTGTGGTCCATAGGGACAGCTACCCAGTTCTCCCAATGTCTTAGAAGGAGCCAGAAGCCACACAAAAGGAAGGAAAGACCACGTGCCGCAGCCAGGACAGAAACCAGAGCCTTCCGTCGACATGCAGCTCTGGGCAGCCCTGATCAGACCGGCAGTTTAGGGAAAAGATGAGGACAAAGGTCTTAGGGAAGCGGACAGTGGCCTGAGCGGATGAGAGGACAACAGGGACAGAGGTGGGGAGACTGGTGGGAAGGGGACCCCCAGGTCTGACCTCTGTGCCCTCGTCTCTTCCAGGATCCCCATACTATTACAGCGCCGCAGCCCGAGGAGCTGCACCACCTGCCGCAGCCACCGCCTACGACCGCCACTGACCCTCAGAGCCATGTGCACCAACTCTCACCATGCATATCATTGAGGTAGACAGCTTCCCAATTCCCAAGACAGACAGAGGGACCCAACAAGTCCATCTCCCACCCCATCCCACACACACTTGGAGCACCCTCCCTCCATTTTCTCCTGCCACGGATCCAGGTAGGGCTGTTGGACTTCTGGGTTCTCATCCATTTCAAGAGTCAATCTTGACGAGCTTCTCCCAGGGGTGACAGGCTTCTCTGCTGTTCTGAAGACCGTTGCGGCCAAACCCAGCCTGCCAGTCCTCCTGACCGTCTGCCCGTCTTGGAAAGGCCAGCTGGCTTCACAGCACCCATGTAAATACCTTCTTGCTTCTCTGTGGACTTGAGGGTCTAACAGAGCAGATTACCCACAATGCATCACAGGATATCTTCAAGCTCTGCACAGAACACCCCCCTCTGCCCTGGGGCCCTGTTAGTGCTCCAACTCAAAGCTGTCTTTGAAACTGACAGCAGCCACCCGGAGGATGCCTGGCCTCGAGCTCACTCCACTTCTCTGATATCTACAAGGCTCACTGGTGGTCATGACGTAAGCTTCCCCTGAGGTTCCCCCCAAGAGGAATCCACCTCGGGGAGATGCCCTGGCCTCTTACCTTCATTTCCACGGAGTCACCGCAGCGTCAATAGTCCTTTTCTTAATCCAGGGACTCCAAGAGAACTGTGTGGGACAGCTGCTCTCCTAAGTAAGAGGTCGTCCAAGTGTGGATGGCATTGTGACTCTGGATGGCTCTCTGGATCAAAAGATCATTGGACCCAGACCAGGGACAAGCCCTGAGGCTTTCCTGGTCCTTCTGGCCCCTGGAACCAAACTGAACGTGTTTTCCAAGGCATGCCCAAGTTCAAGTCACTGTGGACATCAGCCATGGGCACTTCACAGCTGTCCCTTGGAACCCCAACAACTGGATTCTGGGCAAGCCTGTCCCAGCCAAAGGGACAGTGGCTAACAGAAAGGACTGACGTCTGCACTGAGGACCAGCACATTCTGCAGGCATCAGCCAGGACCTGGGCTTCCTCCCAAGCAGCCCTGCCACCCTTGGGGAGCACAAAGTGTGGCTGGGCACGGAGGTGGTGGGGGTGTGGCAAGTCAGCCTGTCCGTAAAAGGTGTCAAGATGGAACTCGCCATGGGAAAGGTGGAAGAATATGTGGGAGACAGAGGAAGGGCTGGGGAGGGCCGGGACAAGCAATGAGGAACCAGGCGGGGGTGTGTAATTTGAAGGTGGGCTTGAGTCTGGGGTGCCCAGTGACACAATTCATTCATCTGGGACCTCTGTTCTTCACACGGTCCCTCTTGCAGAGAAGAACCCCTGTCTCAACTGAGGACAGCAAGCAGTCATTTCCCTGACAATGTCCCTAGGGTCTGCTGTCTAGTGGAACCTCAGACCTTTTACCTCTCTGAGCTTCTGCTGGGCTGACAGCTGGCCAATCTCACTATTTTTCCTTCTCTCCCTTCCTCCCTTCCTCCCAGGGAGCTGAAGCAATGGCAGTGTCTCCTGGGCCAGGCCCCCACTTTTAAGCAAGCATCTGGGATCTTGCTAATGTTCCAATCAAGTGTGAAACAAGAATGGGAACCACAGAGTCTCAAAAAGATCTAGTTTAGTTCTGAGAGGAACTGGGGCCCAGTTTAGGGAAGCCCAGGATCAGACAGGGAGACCAAACAGAACCCCATCCCCTGCAACTCCGCATTGTTTTGTGCCTCAATACCTCCCACAGGGTAGTAAGACAAAAGAAGAAATTGAGGCTCAGTAAAGTGGAGTCCCAGCAGAGGCAGGGCTGGGACCTGGGCCCCTTCTGACACATGGTGGTGGCTGTCACTTCCATCTACCTGGAAGAGAAGGTGGCAGTGAAGATGGCAGGAGGTACCATTGTCCCAGTACTCCAGACCAGGCTTCCGGACTGGGAGAACTGGGGAACTAGCTAGCGGAGGAAGGTAGCTGGGGCCTCAGCCCACCCCCAGGAGACGAGCAACGTGCATTCAGCCTTCCTTTGTCAGCTAAGGTAGGAGGAGGCTCCGTCCTCACTCCTCTGTCCCTGCTACTGCTCTGTTATACGGATGCTCACCTTGTGCTCCTCCCAGTTCCAAACTGCAGGAGGGCACAACCTCCCCGTACCGCCTTCAGTGCACACACCTCCCTTCCTCAGCAAGCCCACCCCGCCCCACGGTGGCTCCCTCCCCACCACCTGATCTTACCCACACAAGGAACTCTATCTGTATGTCTCTCCTCTCGGAGGAAAGCACCCGAGGTGCTGCTGGGCCTCAGACTGGAGTCTGTATTTATTAGACAACCCCATGGTTCCTGGGAGAGAAGCCAGGCAGAAGCACAAGGGCACAGAGGTACATGACTGCTCACGCACACATTGCTCTCGCCAGCTCCAGAGATGCAAATGCATTGTGGGTGTCCTCACGTTTGCACACCTGCTCTCTCCAGCTAGCACACCCTCACACTGCAGATGCACAAGCCAGAGAACTCAACACGGAGTCTGGGGTTTCACTGGCCCCGTGACAAAAAGCGGGGCTATTCCTCCAAGGACCTTCGGTCCTGTTTGAACTTTGTGAAAAATGACATTTTCACACCACTTGTCTAGCTCCAGCCGGAGAACTTGTGATGCTATAACAAACCCACCGTCCCCTTGCTAAGTCACCAGCTTAGAGACTGTCTTCATAAACGACACTGCACAGTGCTTTGTAGTGCTCCACTACCCCATGAGGCCAAGATCCTGACACTCGAGGCTCACTGTGAAGATAAGGATGAAGTGAATCCTCTGGTCTCGGAGCCGCATTCTTTGCCCACAGAGTTGAGATCCCATCACGAAGTCTATGGCTTGAAGACTCCCACCCCTGAGGCCTATAGAAATCCCCAGACCTACAACACGGAAAGAAAGAACAGAGCCCAAAAGTTGGTCTAGTAAAAGGAAGGGTCTGGGGACTGGTGGCCTTGAGGGTCCCATCAAAGCTGACACTTTCAGTCTTTACCTAAACTCCCACAAACACCTCTGCGTTTTCCCATGAGCCTTTCCTTGCTGTACCCTGAGGCTCCAAGGACAATGTGTCCAAGCCTGTGCCACAGTCCCTGGCAGGGTCTAAATATGAATGTCCCATGAGCCGTCCCCTTTCTCTTTTCTCTGCCCTTTCTACTTTGGAACAAACTGTGATAACGTACAAGGATGCCTGGTCTAAAACTTGGCCTCTCTAGATCGCAATACCTGAGGCTGGTCAGGTGGTTCGCAACCACCCTCTGGGCGGGGAACAAAGCAACATGGTACGGTACATCCCCGGGTGTCTAGAGTATGATTGGCCCATGGGTTGGCATCTCAATAGTGAAAACTTTAAAAACATCCTATTGGCCAAAAGAAAAAGATGCCTATGGGCTGAATCGGGCCAGTCAGCCACCATCTTGTGAACCAGTCCTGTGGAAAGCCCTTCTGTTCTCTCCTTGTTCTTTCAAGAACACTTGGGGAAGATGGGAGGGAGATGCGCGGTGCACAGTTTCTAGAACTTTGGAAGCGGCGGCGGGTTTGAGGGAGCTTCTGGGTTTCTATGTGTAGAGCCCCAGATATGGCCACAGGGCGTTGAGGAGTGAAAATCCTCTTACGAGCAGTCAAACTTCAGAGTGACTGACGTGCCTTTGGCAGCCTTAGCTCCATCCACCCCTTTGTAGGTGACATTTCAGCTAGAATTTAACTCCAAGCCATGGGTAGCAAATCTTAAAAACAAACCAAGCACTCCCAAACACACACTAGGAACAAGTGGCATCGGAATCGCGGTCTCCCGGAAAACCCCTGCACAGGCCAGGCCAGGCTAGAGCAGGTTGACCTCATAAGTCTCTGAGTTAGACCAGCTCCCTGGTGGCCCTGGCCTTGTCACCCATCTGGAGTCTGCCTGTGATAGTTTCCAGGCACACGGTGGTGCACCTGGGTAAATTTATTCCTTTATCGCTTTAACCTCCAAGAGGTCCAAGGCGTGTGCATTTCTTAAAAGGAAACAAAACACATGATTGCAGACTTGGACAGTCAGGCCACGACATCTTGCCTTCCGTCTGCCCTACCTCCCAGTGGCCCCTTCAGCTCCTTGGCCCTTGTTGTCCCTGGACCTGAAGATTCCCTTTTGCATATTCATGAGGGAGCCACAGAGTTGATCCACACTTTCTTGCTGTCAGCTAAAGGCTGTTCCTGCAGTGGCAGCCGGGTCCCCAAGGGCCAGCTGCAGAACACATAGTGAGTCCCTTGCACAGGTGCTGTGTGGATACAGATGCAGCGAAGGTAGAGTGAGCTGCATGCTGGGAGCAGCAGGCATCCATCTTTCTTTTTGTCTTTGGTACTGAGGCCCAGTTCCTGGCCCCTTCTAGGACCAATGGGGTACTCACATCTGATCACTGCCATTCACGGGTGTCACCTCCAGATGAGGGTGAACGCAGCCACCCTTTAGTACCTCTAGATTCTTCTGCCTACACCTTAGTCTCCTGAGTAGCAAGCACCAAGCTGCTGTTCCTGTCCTCACTGTGGGCATGGCATGCTGGTGAGCTCTCGGTTGGGACCAGGCTCAGCCTGGACAGCTTTGGTTAGAGGGCAGAGAGGGGAGCAAGGGAAACTGGCAAAAAGTTAGAGACTTAGCAGTTGTGTGTCTCTCGCTGTCTCTAAGACCTGACTTCAGGAGACCAGCCTGTAGTCTCACTTGCCCCGACCTGGTTCACTCGCTTGCTAAATTGCACATGGGGGTGTAATCCCCCAAACCACCATGCAGATGGCACAACCTTCGTCCTCTCATCTTGAGAACATGTAACGATGGGTTTTTTGATTGACAAGTGGCGCGTTTCACTTAGAGTGGAACAGAAAGGAAACTACTTAATGACCCCCCCACCTTGTTTTCAAGCATGAGACATTTTAACGAAACTATTTCATTGGATTTGAGGGAATGGAGAGTTGGACATTCCAACCGATCAATAGCCAATTAATTGCTAAAAAT